TTTTATTGTGATGTCTATACTCTGTACCAAACAATAATGCAATCGGCATGTAGACATGTGAAAATAAAAAAAATAAAAAAAATAAAAAAAAACATAAAGAAAAAAGATGGGTTAGACAAACGATATAACAACTTTTGGTGTCTCTTTTCTCCAAACCTAATCATTTTCTACTTTTTCTTTGAAATATCATTTTCCACTTTTCTTTTCTTTTTTTTTTTCCTCCAGTTTTGTCCATTCATACATTAATTGTGAACTTATCTGGGGTGCATTGCGTTGTTTTTTATTTGGTCAAAGATATTGTTCATTGCATGATTGGTTAAGTAATGTTGTACCCTAGCTAGGATAAGAATATGCAAAAAAAAAATAATGGTATTATTTTGTGAGAATTGTTACAATAAAAATTGTAATTTTATCCTGCTTGTTAAAATTGTTATTTTAACCGATAGATAATATTTTAAGATTTATTAGTGTTCACATTAAAAATTTATAACATGATGCAAAATTACTCTTACTCACATATTAAACCGTTTAAAAACTAATCCAATATTTAAAACAACAATTACTTTCAGCAAGAAAAATAACAGTTTCTATCTTAAAAGTTCTCAAGTATAAGAGAAAAATTTACCCTTTTTTATTGTATCATGTTAAACTGCTTTTAAAAAAAAGGTATAGGAAGTATTAAAAAATTTATTATAAAAAAGTATATTGGAAAGTGTTTCCACTTATTTATGCGCTTTAAGACGAAGCTCAATTATGACGTGGACTTCTAATATTGAGAGCTTGTTAGAATGTATAGCACAATTTAGTTGGAACTAGCTAAAAGTTAGAATTTTTTATGAAAGTTTCTTATAATGTATTATAACTTTTGTTTTCTTTTTTTCTTTTGTTATTTTTAACTACAAAATACAATTTTTTTTTAAAAATTAATAATAATAATTAAGGAAGTTGAAAATCTTTAATTATATGTAGTGTGAATCAAAAGATTTAGAAGTAGTTATATTATCTGGTCCTTGGACGTTTCAGGGTTGGTCTTTTATCTTTGTTTCATAACTGAATTGATTAAAGATGGTAAGATATGTATTCAAAATAGTAAATGTTGATTTTTATTGATAATTGATATAAATTAGTAAATATGTCTTACCTTGTGGTCAATCTTTTTGGATCTATTGTTGTGGCAGCTGATATTTGTGGTAGTGGTATTGAAAGATGAACATCTTCAAATATTTTTAAAACAACTGTAGTTATTTGTGCTCCCTTTTGTTGAAAATAAACTTGCAAGATTTTTGTTTATCCTTTTAACTGAGCAATGATTGGGGGAATTACAAATGAATCAGTAAAGCCTTCATTAATTGTTAATGTAGAGCATGGTTTTTTGATCAATGCTTGTGCTGCTCTTCCAACCACTGAAGTAATTTATAGTTTAATTTATTTAAAAATGTGCGACTTTATTTTATTTTAGTGTATTTTTATTTAATTTTATTTTCATTCAAATTATTTATACTATTATCATTTGAGAGACTTTGAAAATTTAGCACAAAATGATATTGAAATAGATAAAATCGGACCACAAATCAACACCTTTCTTTTTTAATGTTTTTCTTTCTTAGTCTTTATTTAGTTTTAATCTCAAAAGCGCTACACACACACGATTAATTTAAAAAAAACGGCTAATACAAATTGTTTTTTTCTTTTAAAAAAGAAGTAAAAAAGACGACATAAAAGAAATGAAAATAATAAAAGGGGAAAATCTTAAGCAAAGAGTGGGGGAAAATAATTTAACTTACTTCGTTGTCTTTTACATTAATTCTATTTTGTTTTGTTTATTTTTTTATTTAATTTGGTGTTATGTGATTTTAATTTTGTATTTAATTTTATTATATTATTTATGGTATTTTTATTTAACAAATCCAAACAATTTGACAAAAAATGGTGTAAAACGGACAAAATTGAATTCCAAATCAATTTATAATAGTAAATAACTATAATAAAGAATAAGAATTTAAAAAATAAACCGAAAATGGTTTGAAACCGTTCGATTAAAAATTTCGACGGCTGTGATTCGCGCGTAAAAAACACGCGCAAGATGAGCGCGCTCAGTAGGGGGAGGGTAGCTTCGGAGTGGTGGGTCTCACCACTTTTTGGTTTGAAACCATCCGATCAAAAATTTCGACAACTGTGATTTGCGCAAGAGAAGCGCGTTCAGCAGTGGGAGGGCAACTTCGTTTACTTCGTTGTCTTTTACATTAATTCTATTTTGTTTTGTTTATTTTTTTTATTTAATTTGGTGTTATTTGATTTTAATTTTGTATTTAATTTTATTATATTATTTATGGTATTTTTATTTAACAAATCCAAACAATTTGACAAAAAATGGTGTAAAACGGACAAAATTGAATTCCAAATCAATTTATAATAGTAAATAACTATAATAAAGAATAAGAATTTAAAAAATAAACCGAAAATGGTTTGAAACCGTTCGATTAAAAATTTCGATGGCTGTGATTCGCGCGTAAAAAACACGCGCAAGATGAGCGCGCTCAGTAGGGGGAGGGTAGCTTCGGAGTGGTGGGTCTCACCACTTTTTGGTTTGAAACCATCCGATCAAAAATTTCAACAACTGTGATTTGCGCAAGAGAAGCGCGTTCAGCAGTCGGAGGGCAGCTTCGCAGTGGTGGGCCCCGCCACTTTTTCCTTCAGCCAGCCGAACGTCGGCATGTGGCAATCTTATAGCAAAAGACGTAAAAGCCCATGCACAGAGAAAGGAAAAGAGAAGAAAAAAAGAGTAAAATTGACAATTCATACTCAAAGGACATAAGATAGAGGCGGAATTATGAGAATGTTTCTGTATAATGAACAATAAATTGTGAGTGTATGAACATTGTTCTATAGCTTTCTTTTAGTATATTTATAATGTACCTTAAAATGTGATACAATAGTTATTTTCTTTTTATTTAAAAGTTAAACCAGATTTATAAGGGTCTCCAAATATAAACTGTAAAGCACTTAGAAGAGAGGGGGAAAAAATATGCTTAGGGTCCTTGAACTAGGAAATTTATCGGAATCATGATTCTCTTATTTATCGGGAATCACTTGTTCTTAGTAAATTGTGTCTAATAATAAAACCAAGTAAATATTAAGTAAATAAAAACAAAAAAAAATACTGTATATAATATAAGGAAAATTGGTAAACATTAGGTAAATGATGTATTTATCAAGTAAATAAATTGATATGTAAATCATATATTTATCCGGTGAATCAGTTACTTTTGTATCATACCGCATTTTACAATCAGCCGAATTGGTTTTGGTAGATCCTATTTTTACCGAGTAAATCCTTTATTTCAAGCCAAAAATAATGCACTGTTTTACTAAATAAAAATTTTACCTCATAAAACATTTATTTATGAGCCAAAGCAATGTGTGATCTTTGTAAATAAAGCATTTACTAAATAAACTTACTTTTAACTAAATGTGATATCTTTAAATTATTATGACCAATACCCCCTTAATTTTGGAGTTATTTTTAGTTTATCCCCGAACTTTAAAAAACACTCATTTTACCCCCTGAATTTTAATTGTTCCCACTTAATTCTTTATGTTTGAATTTATGTTAAAAATTGATAGAAAAGGAGAGTAATGTAATCATATGGTATTTCTATTTCAATATATGTAAAAACAAACGAATAAAAACAACATCACCACACTTAATCACTTTTTTTCTCATCTGATTTTAACAAAAATTCAATTTTATTAAAAAAAAAGTACACCAGCTCTCCAAGGAAGGCAATGTGAGATTTGCAACTGAGTGTGTGGTTGTTTGGAGCATACGAAACATCGGCTCTGTTAACACTTGTTGGGGAGATACCACGTATAAAACTGGTCAAACACACTTTAAGAGCCTAACTTAGTTTAAAAGGTTAACCTTTTGGGATGTATATAAACTATTTCACATTTTCATCCATTTTTCATGTAAGACAATACACACATACATTTTCTCAACATTTATAAGAGTAAAAAACAAAATGCAATAAATTGACAAAGAATTCGTTTATTCACATAGTAAAATTTTAACCATTTTTTTTTTAAAATTTAGTAAATACACTAGTTTATTCTGTTTAGATAAATTTAAGTAAATGCTTTTATAAATAAAATTGTTTTAGCTAAAATTTATAAATTTGTTTTATATTTAGAAGATTTTACTCGAAATTTTTTTTTTTAATCCTCAATCAGATTGCATGTGTCAACCCAAAAATTAGAAAAACCCTAATGTCATTCCCACCTGGGAACTTAGCCCCACAATCTTCCAATGATGAGTTCCATGAGAGAAAAATCATGATAGAGAAGATGGTTTGGAATTTAATTTTTTTGCTTAATTTTTAATTTAGGAAAATCTGATTTACATCAATTGTTTCTAAACCGAATTTTGTTATTGTTTTCACAAATTGATCTCTTTTCTTGGAAATTTGTATCAGCAATGCCTTTTTTTTTTTTTTGGGGATGGGATGTGGGCAATATTTTGAGAAAAGCTAAAAACTATCTTTTCATAGTATTAATATTTCTGACCGGTCAATACAACTGTCCCTTTATTAAAATAATTAAGTTTTTAGCACATTTACCCTCTGAAGTTGTTGTGCTTCAGTATATTACCCCCAAACTTTTAAATTTTACAATCAACATCCTTAACTTGTGAAACTGTTGCATTTAACCCTATTTCACAAACTTCTTTAAAAAGAAACGGAATTTGACACGTGCCACTCACATGTGGGGTTTTAAGGGGACATAACCAGTATTCTATATGCCATAATTATTAAATAAAATATTAATAAAAAATCTAAATTAATTTCAACCATTTATCTCCATCCAATGGAAAATTTTTAATGTTTTTTGTAAGTGAGACAAAAGAGGGATTTCAAAGATACAAAAAGGACGTTATGAAATTTCATTGCAATATATTTTGGCTAACCAAAGTTGGCGGTATTTTCAGCTTGAGGCTCGGAAACAATGCTGAGAAGTAAATTGCCTTTGCAGGAGCTTATTTCCCGCCATCTCACTCTTCAAAAATCCCACATAAACAATCCCATAATTAACAACAACAAGAAAAACCCAAATCAACTTCTCTTTGAAAAGCTATTATCCCACTTGAAAAAATGCATTTCCATAAAACAACTTCAACAAATCCAAACCCAAATGCTCATAAACTCCATACACAAACCCAACTTCCTTCTTTCCAAAGCCATTGACCTCAAAAGCTTTGCCTACGCTTCCGCGCTTTTCGCCCACATCCCCGAACCCAACGACTACGCTTTCAATGTCATGATCCGTGGTCTAACCACGACATGGCAAAAATATGGTCTTGCTCTTGAATTCCATTGCCAAATGAAGGGTTTAAGCCTAAAGACCAACAAATTCACCTACCCTTTTGTGTTCATCGCTTGTGCGAACCTTTCGACGCTGAATCACGGGCGTACTGCTCATTCGTCGGTCTTTAAGATTGGTTTGGATGGTGATGAGCATGTCAGTAACTCGCTGATCACAATGTATGCGAGATGTGGCGAATTGGGGTGTGCCCGGGAAGTGTTCGATGAAATTACCCTAAGAGGGTTGTCGTCGTGGAATTCGATGATCTCGGGGTATTCGAAGATGGGGTACGCGCGGGAGGCAGTGGAGTTGTTTGGAGAGATGAGGGATGATGGCATTGCACCAGTCGAGATGACGTTGGTGAGCGTTCTAGGGGCGTGCGGAGACTTGGGAGATTTGAGTTTGGGAAGATGGGTGGAGGAGTTTGTTGTTGAAAAGAGTTTAGAAGTGAATTCTTATTTGGGTTCTGCATTGATTGGTATGTATGGAAAATGTGGTGATTTGTGCTCTGCAAGGAGGGTCTTTGACAGTATGACTAAGAAAGATCTTGTAACTTGGAATGCCATGATTTCAGGGTAAGTACTTCTTCCTTTGTCCTTGATAAGTCCCATTTTAGTACCTTGTAGTTTGACACTTTTTCAATCTAGTATTCTCATATTTGGAAATTCTTCTTGAGATAGCCTTTATTCAAAAAAATATCACTGACCGCTTTTGAGACATGCCCTTTCAATCCAGAAAGATAATTAAATAAGAAAAACCCATAAATTCCAATGGAACATAAAATCTAAAAAAGTAAATAGTGAAACCAAAACTCAAAAATAATTTCAAATCAACCTCTCATCACCAAAAAAAAAAAAAAAAAACCTTCCAAAGTGCAGTTTCGTCATTTTACGCATCAGAAAAGTGTGTCTGGGTATCTAGGTGATATTTTTGTTTATTTCTTTTTTTGTAAGACATAGGTGATATGTTTTAGAACACACCTCAGTGAGTTTTTCTAGACACAAAGATACTAAATTGAGAAAATGTTAACTTACGGGTACGAACATTTCCTTAATAAAATCAACATATTTAAAAATTAAAAATTTTACTGGAATATGCATGCTAAATGATTCAACTGTTGACATTCTTTTTTACTTATTCTTTACATTCATGACAGGTATGCTCAAAATGGATTGTCAGATGAAGCAATCAGGCTATTTGGTGACATGAAAGAGGCGGGCATTAATCCGAATAAAATAACATTGGTTGGAGTCTTATCTGCTTGTGCTCAAGTTGGGGCTTTAGATATGGGGAAATGGGTTGATAACTTTGCATTAGAAAGTGGTTTACAACATGACGTGTATGTGGCAACTGCATTACTTGATATGTATGCTAAGTGCGGGAGCTTAGATGATGCGCTGAGGGTTTTTGAGGAAATGCCCCAGAAGAATGAGGTCTCTTGGAATGCCATGATATCTGCGCTTGCGTTTCATGGCAGAGCCATTGAAGCGATATCCCTATTTAACCGCATGATTGAGGAGGGTGGGGCTCTTGCACGCCCAAATGACATTACTTTTGTTGGGGTACTTTCTGCTTGCGTTCATGCTGGTTTGGTTGATGAAGGTCGCCGGTTGTTTAATTCGGTGAGCTCATCATTTGGCCTTGCTCCAAAAATAGAGCACTATTCTTGCATGGTTGATCTTCTGGCACGAGCAGGACATGTACATGAAGCTTGGAACTTCATTGAGAAAATGCCTGAAAAGCCAGATGAAGTTTCACTTGGGGCATTACTCGCTGCGTGTCAGAAATGCAGAAATGAAGATGTCACCAAGCGGGTAACACAACTTCTTCTGGAGTTGGAGCCTTCAAACTCTGGAAATTACGTTATATCGTCAAAGGTATACAAAAAGTTAAAAATGTGGGATGACTCAGCAAGGATGAGAGTGTTGATGAGACAAAGGGGAGTCAGTAAGACTCCTGGTTGTAGTTGGATCGAGTTCGAAAATCAACTTCATGAATTTCATGCCGGTGATCTTGTACACGACAGTTCAACTGAGGCTTACCAAGTGTTTAGATTGCTAAATGATGATATGAAGAGGGAAGGTTATGTTCCGAACCTTAGTGTTGTATAGAGACATATTGAGAAATCTGGCTTTGCATTGCGAACTCATCAACTGAACTACAAACTCAGTTTTACCTGTTCTCACGTAGATTAGTCAAGCGAAAACCGGACTGTGGTCCTGATCCCAGTTTTCCCAGGTATAAATGTTCTTGTCTGAAAAGATTCGTTTCGGGTTTTCAAAATCTACGTGAACCCTGAATTGTACTCTACTCTTCTAGGAGCATCTTTGTGTATTCAGCATATATGCAAGCTTTGCTGTCAGTTGCAATGAAGAAATAAATGTCATGATAGTTTATTGGTTATGAAGAATGCTTTTGCTATGGTCGAAGAAATGCATTACAACATTAGTTTAAGAGCTCCCATCTTTAGAAAGTACCCTTTTTTAGCTATATTGGCTTTCTTACCGTTGGCCCATCATACTTATTTATTTAGGAAAAGCGCTGACCATAAGCTGGAGTTCTATCACTTCTCCGAACATTTTCTTTTCGAATAGAGAGTTTAGTATGTGATCTATGGAGTTTGTTCTTATGTTGTGTAGTGGTAACCAATTTTCTAATTACTCTTAGGAAGTTTCTTAGCTTGGTGGTGTCTTAATCATTTTACTATTTATACAGGTTTGATTGTCATTCAAGCTTTTGGCTCAGTCTCTCTCTCTCTCTCTCCAGATGCTTGCTTACCTTTAAAATCGACCACTTTGTTGGACAATGAGCATTAGAAACTTTATAGTTACTTTTGCAGAAGATTGGTTTGTGTCAAAAGAAGAAAAAAAAAGAGTCAAATCGGCTTTTAAGATTACGGCATGAGTTTTGCTTTAGCTTTTCTTCTTTTGGCAGGTTGTATTGGTTGTAAATTTCCTCCTAGAAAGGACCGATATCTTGGAGGTAACAAAAGATCCGATCATTTGATTTGAAATGTTGTATGTTTTGTTTGTCTCAACTGTATACAAGCTTGGATAATGACTTTACTTGTTGATTTTTCTTGGCAGAGCCAAAAATTGGTGGTTGTTGCTGAGCTCTGTTTTATGGAAAACTCTGGTGCAGTTGCTGTAGCGGTCTGTAGGACGAGAGATTGCTTTAAGACTAGGCGGGTGCAAGAAACGAACTGATTCGAGAACATCATAGTGTTTTGCCATCAATTGAAACCTCATATCTTCAGTAGTTGAAGACAATTTTCGTGACACAAATCAATGGTATAAGCTCACTTTTTGGAACCAATTCAGTTGAAAATATCACTGGGAGATTAATGGTACATCTTATTGCATAGCTGAAGCAGATGACAAAGGCGGACAAGTTGTTTCAAGAGATTGTATAACAGCCTCAACACAAACAAAAAGTAAGATTATCAATTAAAACAATAGATAAAACAAAAATAAAAAGAGAACCATTTTTTCTGTTTGAATAAGTTATTTTTATTTTATCGACAATGTGCTTGGAAAGGAAAATAAATTTTCTCGTGTGTCTGCCATTTTATTGAAACAAAGTGGTATCCTTGTGTTAAATAATTCAGTTTGCTATGTGAAGGCATTTTCACTTCTGTGATTAAATATTTTGCAGATGATATTGTATTGGTATTCAACACCATTTTAATATTCTAAATAAAGGAATCATGCTAAGGGCCGTTTAGGAGAGCTTGTGCTTTTACTTTTAAGCAACAGAAGAACAAACAGAAGCATGAGTCATGGCTTTAAATTAGTGTTTGGATAGTGCATGGAAAGAAGCTTTTTATTTCAGAAGAGCTTTTGAACATGTTGGTAAATAAGTCAAAAGCTCTTATTGTCATAAAAAGTAATGCAAAACAAGGATATGTATAGAATTTTTAATTTGTTCACAAATAAAATGTTAAAAATGTAAATAAAAAAGCTTTTCGTAAGTTCTTTTTTCATACGCAATTAGAAGGTGACTTATAAAGAGCTTATAAAAGCCAAAAATACTTTCATGTTGTCCATCCAAATAGTCCCAAAAGCAGTTTTTGGACTAAATAAGCCAAAACGGGGTTTTTAAGCTAATCCAAACACACTCTAAACAAAGGAAAGGTATGAGGTTAACAAAGCCTATTCAATAACAATACCCAACAAGCTTCCACCAGAACTAGAGCCAGCATGTTGGTTATACCTACCGCAGCATTTGTCACCATATTTCTTACAGCACTTGACAATGTCCGACTTCAACGGATTCATCGCTGATATGCCGTCAACTTTTCGAGAACGTTCATTCTCTTTCTGGTTGAAACAACACTTCTCAGTTTCCCTCTTCTTTGAACTTATGCACTCATCAACACATCCAGCACCACAATAGTTGCACTCACTAGAAGAACCTTCAATTTGCAAACAACACTCCGAACTATTGCCAATCGTTCTATCCGACTCCTCTCCCTCGCAATGAATTCGCTCGACAGATTTAGAGCAGCATAGATTCTCATTTTCCCGATAAGCAGTTTGTTTTGAGCATGTACTGTTTGAGCGCATAACATTTGTGACCTCGCCACAACATTCATCAGTGCATTGCTTTACTCCGCAACCCTCATTGCTGTCTTCACCTTGCCCGCAACTTGACTCTATGATTTGCTCTCTACTCTTAGAACTTGGACTCGCCGTATTAAAACCGCTCGAGTTGCTTATTCTGGATGTTGCCTTACGAGTGAATTTGTCGCAGCACTCATTTTTACAACTTTTCGTGTCAAGGGGTGCATAACCTCCATTGTATCCGTGTTGCTCGTTGGCGCGGTTCATGCTTTCATCTCTTTCGCATGACAATGTAGAGAAAGTCCCGTACTCGTGTCTGGAAAATCTGCCGTCTTGTTTTTTGGTGTCTTTCAGAAGTAACATGCTGTTGAGAATCACTACCAAGCATGTCCCAACATCAGTAAGAACAGCTGCCCAGACAAGAGGATAGCCTGCAAAGGCTAGTGCTAGTATAACGCTCTTAGTACCGACCGAGATAATTACATTCTCGACGAGTTTCCTGAAAGCTCTCTTTGCCAGTCTAATGGCTTTTGGAATCTTTCGGATATCATTTGACATGAGGATTGCGTGTCCTGTCTCCGTTGCTAGTGCTGAGCCTGAAATTCCCATGGAGATGCCAATATCAGCCGTAGCTAGAGCAAGAGCGTCGTTTATTCCATCTCCGATCATTGCTACCGGACCATTCCTCTTAAACTCTTTGATGAATTGTGCTTTCTCTTCAGGTAGAAGTTCTGCATGCACAGTGTCTAGAGCACGGTCCAGCTAAACACGAAATCGAGAGAAGCATACAAAATCGAACTCATTAGAAGGCCTGAAGCAGGTTAGTAATAACTAAGGCCTCGTTCATTTCACCGATTCGAGTTTTCAGTTTTGAGTTTCTATAGTTAAAAGTTCTCAAAAAATGTCACATCTAACTTTTTCTGTTACAGTTAAAAGCTCTTAAAAAATGTCACATTTCAACTCGAATTGAAAACTCAAATCCGCAAAGTGAACGAGGCCTAAATGTTTAACCAGACTAGGTGACAAAATCACCTAAAGATCTTCCTTAGCCCATAAATCCAATTTCGCTAGAAAACTTCGAAAATCTATGTTAATTTTTCGATAACTGGTTGTGAAAACTTTAGAGAGAAATAGATCCACACCTGATCATATGCAATCATGGCGGCTGCATTACTGTCCCCGGTAAGCATGGCAGATCTGATGCATAATTCCTTCAACTCTTCAATTGCCTCTGCGGCCCCAGATCGACACGTATCAGAGAGGCGAAATATTCCCACCAGAGCTGCTCCACAATATATGTATCCATTTGTTTCTCTACTCATACTTTGAACATCCAATGAATCTGAAAATTTAGCTATATCAGCACAAAAATTTGAACTTATAAACATGTTCAAATAAGACACCATAGAGTTCTAGGAAAAAAAAAAAAAGAAAAAACCTTTTTCACAACCAGCTCTTAGGCCGATTCTCCAGTTTCCAATGTAGATGTCTTTCCCATCAATTTTCCCGTAGACTCCTTCCCCGGGAAAATTTTGAAAGCCCTCCACATTTTCGGGATTTGGTTCGATGGATTGTGACCGTCCGTGGCCAACAAGTGCATCTGCCATTGGATGACTTGATTTACTCTCAATGCTTGAAACCCTTCACAATTTCGACTAAAGTGTTCAGTTTCAATAAGATAAAAAAAAAAAAAAAAAATAGTTTCAATATCTCTTGGCTGAGTATCTATATATTCCATATTAGAGATACAAAATTAACTCTTGTGACCAAGCTTACCAATAGAGCAATGTGTTGAAGCTGATATCATGACTAAGAGACCGAAAATCGATCACCGAAAACTCCCCCCTCGTTAATGTGCCGGTTTTGTCGAAAGCTACGGTTTTCACCTTTGCAAGAAGCTCAAGGTAGTCGCCACCTTTGATTAGAAGGCCGGTGGTGGCAGCCCTTGAAAGAGCACAGAAAATAGTCACAGGAGTGGAGATGACAAGTGCACATGGACATGTGCTCACAAGAACAACCAATGCTAAATGAAACCAGTAGTTTTCATTTGGAAATCTCAGCACAGCTGGAATGATAGCAAAACTGGCTGATATTATCATTACCACTGCAAAAATTCATAGAAAAAGAATGGTGAAGAAGAATTAAACAAAACACTAGCTGAAAAAAGGTGTGTGTGTGTGTGTGTGTATATATATATATATATGTACATAGGTAGAGTTTGAAAAGGGTTAGAATAGTCTAGGCATATTGTGGCTTCATTTAGCTCAGAGACAATTCTGTTTGGTTCTTTAAGAAAAGTAAATTTCCATTTCTTTTGTTCTTGATGTCAAAAATTAACTACCTAGTTGAGTGTTTGTGATTCCACTAGTTTGCTAGCTTGAGGCTGAAAAGAATTAAAGGGAATATATCATTTTGGTACCTTGTAGTTTGACATTTTGTTAATTTGATACCTTAGTGTTTAGAAATTTCATTGAGGTATCCTGTTGTTCTGAATATATATATATATATATATATATGTGTGTGTGTGTGTGTGTGTGTGTGTACATATTATGCGGTTACGTAGCACATTTTTATGAGACATAAAATGACGAAATGCTCTTTTGAACCCTTTTATTAAAACTTAAGACTTTCTAAAATTGTTTATTTTAGTTTAGTTATTCTTTTTTAGATTTTATGTCTTCCGGAATTTATTATTTTTCACTTAATTATGCGTTTAGATTAGAAGGGTAGAATTATCATTTCATGTCTCGAAAAAGGGCTCAGAATACCAAAATGACATATTTTTTGAATAACATAGGGCTTGTTCAGTTGCATTTTTGAGTTATGGTGACTTTGAGTATAGATCTTGAGTTAAATTTGAGTTATAACTTGAGTTGAAGTTGTAATCTGAGTTTGTGTTTGATTGTGTGCATTTGAGTTATGGTTTGAGATGAGAATCTTTTTAAGTTTGTATTTGGGTGGGTCATAACTTGAGTTTGTATTTAGATAGTATTTTAATAAAAACTCAATGATGATGAAAAATTTTAATAGGGTATATGAGTGTGGTTTTATTTGTCTTTTCGTTGTAAACGCATAAAAAAGAATCACTCAATCGAAATTAAAACGAAAAAGTTAGTGTTTTTAAGAATAAAAAAAATGTTATTAATTAACTTGAGTTTGAGTTTAGGAACTTGAGTTGAAGGGAAAACTCGAACTCAGATTTTAACCCTAAACTCAAGTTAAAGTTCAAGTTAAAACTCAAATTTTACAAAAGAACATGATCTTGAATAAAGTTGTAATTTGAGTTCAAACGTTTTTTGAGTTTAGGTGCCTCAACGGGATTTTCCAAACATGGGGGAATCGAACCGGAAAAAGTTTGCATCAAAATGATGTTCTCCCAAAAATAAAATGAAAGGCCTATGATGCAAGCAATAATTATTTATTTGGAACTAACATTGTTTAAAGGATTGAGGAGTGACTTACAAGGAATATAGTACTTAGCACACTTGTCTATAAATCTTTCAGTTTGAGACTTCTTTTTATGTGCATCTTCAACAAGCTTAGCCATTCTTGCAACAACAGAATCTCTGGCCAAGGCAGTAGTTCTTACAGCAATATAACCTGGTAACAAGAACATAGACTCAACACTTCAAGCACAAAAATCTCTCGATCATCATCCGAAACCGAAAAACGAGGGAAAGAAGGATCGAAAAGCTAACCGTTCAGATTGATTGAGCCAGCCCACACAATCGAACCCGACTCTTTGGCAACAGGAAATGATTCACCACTCAGCATCTTCTCATCAACTTCACATTTTCCTTCAACAACAACTCCATCCATTGGAATTGCCTCACCAGCCTTGACCGCAAGGATGGTGTCCAACTTAACAGAATCTACATCAACCTGCTCTCCGGTTTCGGCAATTGTAGCTCTCTGGGGAGCCATGCTTGTCAGAGCCGACATCGCGGCCATGGCCTGCAAAATTCATTTTTTGCCAAAAAGTACCATAAACAAAAATAAAGGTAAGAAAGAACACATTCATAATCAATGTTTTTCAGAGTATACCTTGTAACTTGCTCTTGTTTCAAGCCAATGAGCAATGGAAAACAGAAAGACAACTGTACCTGCCTCCCAATAATCTTGCAAAACAAGAGTGCCTACCACTGTAAAACATCAAGTCTATATTAGTATATATAAACCTTTTTTTCTTTTTTTGTTAATAACTATCATTAGCCACACATATTGGGAGCTTTTATCTGTTTTCATATTATTTCTATACATTATTCGTAACATGTTATTGCACACAATATGTTATCCTGAAAAGCAGTGTAAAAGTAAGATGTGTAAATACCTGCCAAGAGAACAAGAATGTTTATATTAAGTGTGAGGTTTCGAATGGAAGCAAAACTTCTGATGGCAATAGAGGGAGCTCCAATAACAACCGTCCCAAGAGCCAGCCATTGAAAGGGACGCCATACAAATTTAAGAAATGACAATGCAAGCAATACTCCACATGCCATCACAGAAGGAGCTGGCCATTTGTTTCTCACGAAATTTTCATCTCCTTTAGGCTGAACACTTGCTTCCAACCTTGCCTTGTTCAGCACCTCAACTGGCATTGATCACATTATGCAGTACATCAATACCTACGTAGGGATAATAATAAAAACGTACTTTGTGTTTTATCGAATTATCGGATTTTACCTTAAGGCTGAGATTATGCAATGTTTATCTAATTAGACGAGAATCTATGGCCCTAATGTCAGATTTGGTCATATTTTGCAGTGCAAAAAGACACTGTTACTCTTCATAAAACAAATTATGGTTTATTGAGAGAAGTCCCAAAAGTAGTAGTTTTAGTATTCTTCAAATTTTTTCCGCATTTGATAATAGGGTCTTTCTACAGCAAGGGCCCCTACTATGAGGGAGTGTTTCTGAATGTTAAATCTGATAAAAATCATATCAAAATAAAAAGTATACAAAACTGATTTAATTTGATGTAGATCTTACGGTTTAAAATAAAATCCTAATGATAGAGTATTTTTTCTTACTCTACCGTAGAATTTGTGAAAATAATCAACTTTCATTTTTTATTTTCTTGGGGATCAATTGCTATAGTTGTTCTCTTTGAAGAAATTTACATTCTTATTACTAGTTTTTCTAGCTAAAAGAAGTTGGAAGTTGACAGCCGTGGGGCTTCACATTTCTTATTTTGTTTAACAGCATTTCTTATTTTATTTTTATAATATTACTACTTAATTCTCCCAAAAATAAGATTATACAAAATATATCAAGTAAGCTTTGTAAATATTCACTATCATTTGTTTTTTTTTTTTTTATAATAAACGTGATTACATACGGAAAGAATTAAGGAGTGAAGATTGAACGGCGGTTATCTTGTTTTAACAATATGACATGAATTAGCCGATAGTAACGAATTAAATAGTTGAAAAAAAATTTATGACAATTATAAGTGAACAAGATCGCTAATATCCATACCGATTTGAGTATCAGAAAGGAGGAGGGAATCATGGACAACAATGAGTGTTTTGGTTGGGAGGATGACCGAAATCTCTTTGACCCCATTAATCTGTTCCATAATTCTCTCTAGCAGTGCAACTTCTGATGCGCAACAAAGTCCCAAAACCTCAAAGTAGCTTTTCTTCATCAGTTTCTCATGATCAGCCATGATGTCTCCTTGATCACTATTAACTTCTTGTTTTTGAGATGAGAAAAATGAAAGAGAAGACTATTATGAAGATTCACTATTTGCAACGTTTTTCTTTTTTTTGTTTTTGTTTTTTGAAGGGTTGACTTTGGCCATGTGTAAATTGTCTTTCCTTTTCCAATCTGACTTTTTCGGTTTTATGTTTATGTTTATTTCTTTCTAAGATAAGATCTTACTAGTAAAATATCGTGTTAAATGTTTTCATTTTGAAGCTAATTACCTTCTTTTTTCTTTCATGAGCAGATTATTCTATTGCATTATTTGATTTAAAATTTATTCACTCTCTCTCTCTCTCTCTCTCTCTCTCTCTCTCTCTCTCTCCCTCCTTTAGTAAAACTAAGCATTTATTAATAATATCCCTAAACAATATGTTTTCTATTGTCCATATTGTACTAGGAAAATTGCGTCTACTGTTCGATTTATTTTATTTTATTTTTTGGGCTAAAGAGTGTTCAATGTATTTGATTTAAAATTTATTCAGTCCAATAATTTTATTTATTTATGAATGGTGACGATAGCTTGAGTGTAATGATAGTTTCATTAATATTTGATATTGGTCCTGTTGTCCATATTGTATTAGGAAAATTGCGTCTACTGTTCGATTTATTTTATTTTATTTTTTGGGCTAAAGAGTGTTCAATGTAATTGGTTTAGAATTCATTCAGTCCAATAATTTTATTTATTTATGAATGGTGACGATAATGATAGTTGCACTAATATTTGATATTGGTTATCATAAAATGGATAAATTTTCTGAATTTCCGTTTGCATTTTGCCCTTGAATTTGAAAAATTGCTCTCCATAAACTTCAAAATAATATTGATAGAAAAAGCTGATATGGAAGTAAATTTCGAAGAATAAGTTTTAAAAATCTCTCAAACTTAGGCTACTTTTTCACTTTGCCCCCAAACTTTATAATATTATCAAATTTGCTTGTTCCTTAACTTAAAATGGATGGAAAAAATTACGTGACACCAGATTTGAAAGGCTAAACCTAATTTAAAGGAAGGAAAAAGACTAAACCTAATTTAAGCTAATGATATATTAACAAAAATTACTTCTAAAAATACAAATATTAAAGCTGGGACACAAGGGGAATTGATAGGTCGCAGCCAAATGAGTCGCGAAAGCAAGGTGGCTTACTGCCCTCTTTTCGTCACTGCCGGCACACTTAAATGCTCCACACAAACAAGAACAATAACTCAAGATAATAGGGTAGTTGAAAAAGTGATGTCACTACAAAAAACAAGACATTTAACGTCTTATATTTAATGACGGGTTTTATAAAAAACCATCGTTGATCCTTCTAACTTTATACAATTGGCGCAGAGGATTAGACAACGATTTTTTTGAAAAACCATCGTTAAATGTTATATCTTAGACGACGGGTTTCCTGAAAACCGTCATCTAATTGGGCGCGATTTCCTAAATTTTAAATATCAAATCCATAACCCAAACCCCCCGAACATAAAGTCGTTCCACACACACACACACTCTCTCTCTCTCTCTCTCTCTTTCTCTCCCTTCGTCGCGATTTCACCCAAACCGCCGTTCCTCCATCAGAAAACCCACCCCATTCCGCCTTCTCCTTCTCCACCTAACCTTCTCGCTCTCTCTTTTGCTCCATCGGCCTCCTTCTCTCTCTCATTCCGCCCCTGTCGCGTTTCCACCATCGAAGTCCATGCGAAGTTGGAACGTTTCTCCTCCGCCACCATCAACGTCATTCTGGTTTCTCTCCTTCGTCAACAACTTCCGAACCAGGCATCTAGATGTGTGATTTTAACGTTTTCATCAATTTACGATTAGTTGATTATTAGATTAAATGTTCAAAGTTTATTAGACGACTATTAAGTATAGTTCAAATAGGCGAGTCTATTAGATGACGGTGTTTATTAATTTAATTTTTTTAGAAATTTATTGTTATTATTTGCTAGTTATAGTTGTTTTAATTTGTATTATTCAGATATATAATGTTTAAAAAGTTTGAATATGAACAATTTTTAGTTTAGGGTTACAAACTTGAAAGACAGTTGTGATTTAATTAATTTTGTGTTAGATAACTGAATGACTTGATTTAGAATGGATGGCCACTCAACTGAAGGATATGCAGATGTACATTACCATCAATAATATCGAATGGATAGTAACCTATTAAGAACTTAGTATTGGATGTATTATGACATATATATGGTAATATAAATATTCTTACTACTTTTTCGCAAAGATTATATTTTATTATTAAATGTTTAACTAACTTTTTCATTTTCCATGTAGTTGTGGAATGTGTTGTGATGTAACGACCCCTCACGTGCCGTCACAGTTATCGTAACTTTCAAACATTTACCTCTTAAAGAATGCGGAAAATCGTTAAACTTGAAATATTTTACTTTGAACGACTTAAAGAAAAGCCTAAATTTTTTTTAAACATACTATCTTTAAATTTTTGAACTTCCTCAAAGAAAAATAAAACAACCTTCGGTTCAACTTAGTTATTAAAATCTATAAAGTCTAAAATATTCTTCAAATCAAAACCACCATAAACCGAAGTTTCAAAACAATTAAAGTAAAAATCAAAAACTTTGTTTAACCTTAAACACTTCATCCCATGATCGTTTCTCCCGTTTTCCTATCACGCATAGCTCGCATCCGCTCTAATATTCTCCATGGCTACATCTTACCCTTTAGACTGTCTGCAACATGAAATAACTTATATAAGCAAGGGCTTAGTAAGACACTTAATTCTCACAAATTTAAATGAACATTTTTATTCATCAACAATAAACATCATCATGAGAATAATTATTTTTGAACATGTTTAAAACTTTAAAAGCCATCATATATTGGGCCCGACGTTGTACCATCATAGCGCGTTAGCCACGGAAAGCATAGGGTAGCAAATCCCATACCAACCATGGCAATAAGACCGCTCACTGGTCACCATCAAGGGTGTACAACACCATTTAAAAACATAGAAATACATATATACATTTTTCTTCAAAACGTCATCATAAGAGGATTATTAAAAATGTCATAACATCATCATAAACATCAAAATCATATACTTTTCAATTCTTCAATTCATGTTGCAGGTGAGAGTGTACTTACATGAGCGCCGTACTTAACCTTTTTAAATTTCACACGGTGAAGCGACGAATGAGGTCCTCGGGTGCTCGCCTCTAGAACCGTTCATGTCATAAATCATAAATAAGATTACTAAAAAGCCTTAGCATCTCATCAAATACATTAATCATGTTAAAACAACATTTAATATACCATTTTCATGATTCATTAACATCAAGACATAAAAACCCACTGATTACACAAAACCACAAAACTTAATAAAAATTGGCAGCCTGACCTTTACTCATTTAAAAACTCATAACAATTCATATAGAACTATAAATGACCTAAAACTAATTTTAAATTAAAGTAGACATCTAGAGCTTTCCAACGGTATCTAATTTGTTAAAAACGGAGTTCGTTTGCTTTCTGAAACCCTGTTTTAAAATCAGACATGAAACCTGAAGAAATTCCAGCACTCAAACTAGGACGAAAATTCACTAAAAATTCTATAAAATACAAAACCATCATCCTCAACATGTATAAACAGCACTCCATTTATTCTTCAGTCCTATAACATATTTCTAATACTTAAAGAAATATAATTACCTGCATATATATACATCTTATATCTATAAAATGATTATTAAAAGAATCACATGAGCCAATCATATAAATGATCATAAATAAATCCTTTGCATGTTTCTAGGTTGTACAAGAACCAACAATTCCATTATTAATTTAATTATCAAAATGGCCAACCTCTATAGCATGCTTTCTATGGAGATACACAACAAAACAATCAAATAATAACTATGACTAACATAGAGTCTAATAGAAATCTACACTCAAAATCATAGAATCAATAATTTAGAATCATACCTTAATAATCTCCAAATTTTATCTTGAGTGATTGATGACTTCAAAAAGGATTAAGAGGAAATGAGTTTGGTGGCTGATAAAACAAAAGTTCTCTTGTGGTGTTCAAAAACGTGAGAAAAGAAGAAATAAGGAGAAGAAGCTGAAAAGTGTCTTTGGGAATTAGGGCTCTAGAGAGAAAATGATAGAGATATATGAAGGAGAGAGCATAAGTGTGAGAGGGAGAGAGAGTGAGTCAGAGAGATATTATTATTATTATTATTTATTTTACTTCAAGTACGCTGACTACCCTATTTTCCTTCGACCATGCATATGGTTAATACACATATATGGCAAGGTTGGTTAAACAATGAGTCTTCCCATTTTTCTCACATTATTGTACGTTTATGTAGTTGACTTTCTTTCATAAATTGGCCCAAATTGAAAATGAATAAAGCTTGCAATATATAACTCAATAAGAATATTAATTAGCTTGAATTGGGTGATATAATGGCTGTCAAGGAGGTAGAAATCGTGTGAAGCAGTTTTCTTTTGTTTTGTTTTGTTTTTGTTTTTTTTTTTACACGATGGTTGACTTCTGTTTAGACCACATATATACGTACATATTAAGCCAACACACTAAATAGAAGATAAACAAATAAATAAATTAAAATAAACAAATTCTTCAAATCATCACATATATAATTTAACATTTTGGCATGAACTTGTTCTTACACCACGAGTCCTCGTCGCGTTCACCTGCAGAATATAACTCAACGTGATGTTAGAATTTAACTAATTATAACACCATAACATCATTCATGTTAATTTCTAACTTCTATTTCTATGAATTTGTCAATTAGAAAAATGGGTGTTACATGTGAGGAGAATGTCCTAGCACATTGGGGTTTCATGTATCGGATGCTCACATCATACTTTCCAGGTCAAGTGGAGGTGGCGATAGAGACCTTAGCAAACGCCGTAACTGTATTTTTTCACCAAGCAGATTCCCGACACACTTTCTTCGTGCCATTTAATAGAGG